CGTACTACGTACGTACTACTACGTACGTACGTACTACGTACTACTACTACTACTACTACTACTACTACTACTACTCTACTCTACTCTACTCTCTCTCTCTCTCTCTCTCTCTCTCTCTCTCTCTCTCTCTCTCTCTCTCTCTCTCTCTCTCTCTCTCTCTCTCTCTCTCTCTCTGGCAAATATACTACAGATCAAAGTTAACTAATTTCTTAAGTCTGTCCTCACAGACAAGGAATCCACAGCATAGGACCACTGAAGCACTTTTAGAAATCCAATATGTTAGGATTGTTAGCCAATGGGATGAGCAGGATACCATTACAAGCATGAGAACTGCACTCTGAGAATTCCAGACAGCAAAAAAAATAACTAGCATTCATGAAAATAATAATCATCATCATCATTTCATCGTCATTTTAGCCTTCTCCCAGTTAATTGGAGTTGGCTAATTCATGGAAATAATAATTGAACAAATTATTATTCATTTATATAAATACTATATATCACTTTAAACTCTAACAAACTAAGCTAAATTCCTAAGATAGCAAAGAGCAGATAAAAACAAACCTTTAACATTACAGGTAGATACCCAAAATTGAACTTCGAATCTCTTATCACAACCCCATCATTGTATTGGAAACATACGTCCACGTGAAATTTACCTTGATACGTTGTTCCAGCTTGCCTACACTGCTTCCAAACAAACAGAAAAAGGAAGCATCATTACATGGTGCCTTAACATGGGTACATTAATAGTAGCCATGATATAAAGGAGCCAAGAAAACCACAGGTCCACTTCTAAAACCTGATGGCCATTTTCTTACATAATTATCCCAAGGTATCCACCAGGAATATAGTAGATTTTGTCCATTCAAAATTTGTGACATTCTTTTCTTCTCAAACAAGGTGATGATCAACATCTAAAACTATGAAATGAAAAGATAAAAAGCATGAATTTTGGATATTAAAAAACAGAAAGCAAAAATAGCATGCATTTTGGATATTATTCACAATCATGTATATGAAGCTATCAACAAACCAATGACTGAATTCTCGTAAGCCCAGTCTTCAAATAAACAAGAGTTGCGCAACTTTACATGATAAGGGTACAACTTTTTCGCCTCAGTTTTGGAAGTGGCTTTAATCTCAGGGGGGAATATGACAGGCTCCTCCAACCAGAGTAAAACGTGGTCAAGTACAAACTCCATGTAAGAAGAGCGACAGCTTAAGAAAATAAACTTGAAAAAAAAAAAAAAGCTAACAACCATGGAAAGGATATATTTCAGCTTGTTTTCAGTATTGGGCTCATAAGCCGTGACAGGCTTTAAATTTGAAACCAATGCCCGCAATCCTTCTTTACTGAAGTAATCAAATGATTGAATGTGAGGCTTTACAAGTTCGAATAATGAATCAAATTCCAATTTCTTCGTCGGTCCTCCCATCGCTGTAGAACCTGCTCAAATTTGAAAGTTGAGTCCCTAGCTAGTTCAAAAAAACCCTAAACCTTGAAGCCCCTGGTCGTTCGAATGGGACTCTTTAAGAATGTGCATGAAGAGTACGATAGGGGAACGACTGTTGCTAGGGTTTTGGGACAGCAACGGGGGGTTTAAGCGTGTGTTTTGGGGGTGGGGACACGGGGGGTGTCGCGGCGACAGTTCATTTGGAACTCATGTACCATGCTCCCGGGAGAGCATGCTGTGCATTTATCAATGAAAGGGGCCAATACATGTAGAACATCGTTGAGCCGAAACCGTTGCAAGTAGTGTTATTAAGATCGGACTGACGACCAAATCAATAAGGGGTTTAAGGGGTCTGATCAAATTAAAATTGATGCGACTAATGTTTAAACTGATTTTTTAAATGTAACGAGAAAATTAATAATAGGTTAAAAAAAAGTGATGTCATACTTTGCTTAGTCTGACAAACTGGTCTAAACCAACCGATTGAACCAATTAAACCCATTTTTTGTCAAATTTGGTTTCTATTGTGAACCATGTCGGCTTAAGCACTAGCCGTCAGACTACCAATCTATTCCAGTCTTGATAACCCTAGTTAATGGCATAACCCTAACTAATTAATGATTCAAACACAAAAATAAACCATTACAATGATGAAATGGTTCTACGCATATAAAAAATCAGTTTAAACTATTCCAAGGCATAACCCTAACGAACCAATAATCCACAAAAAAAACAATGACCGTGTCCCGTCACTCGTCATCATATCTTCAAGGCAAATAGAAAACAAACAACTCAACAAGAGAAAACCCTAACTGTTTAAAAGCTTATTACACTTACTTGATGAGTGCACGTCTATTTAGAGCTGTACTTTTGAAAGTAAAAAGTAAGTAAAGAGAAAGAATTATTGAAAATGATTAATCATAGAAAGATGCTTGACTAAAAGTATTTGGGTTAAGATTAGAAGGTATTTTTTTTTTTATTGGGTAGATATATGTGTGTCAGGTGGATGAGTGTGATGTAGGGGAGTTATATGGTTGCATGGGATGAATTGTTATTAGTAAATAGCCTAGACTAAGTAAAACATAGGAAAAATGATTCAAAGTTCCATGGCTATTATTTGAGAGAGGAAATTAGGCTTCCTAGGATTTGCATCTAGGGTTAAAATACGGATTCTAGAGTTAAACTAAGAGGTATGCTTAATATAAGGGAATTTTCGAACTAAGTTGGATATTATAAGCTTTCTGAATGTATTTGGATATAAACAGATATAAGAGTATGAAGGGTGTTTTTTAAATTCATGCCAAAATTTTGAAAGTCCCTTTTCAACTTCTAACCCCCAAGATAAATCATTGCAAATTCATTTGTCTTCTAAGAAAGTACATGTAGTTGTTTCCCATTAAATACAATGCATTTTATAATTATGCTTGGCTTGTGTAATGTGTCAATCCTTTTTTCGGTGAATACAGCATGTTAATGTTAGACAAACAAATAGCACCTCCAAACCCTCCTAGAACATGCTTTTTTGGTGTAGGAAATCTGTATGACAACTTGAAAATCTATTTTCCACCCCTGCTTAGAATTTAAAGCTCAAAAAATGGTATTGATTTAGTAGATCCACAAACACTAATGGATCATTCTCTATTAATGACTCATGGAATTTCGCTGGGCACAGGGGTACCATTCAACCAATCTTCAAAGCTTTGCGATCTTCAAGTGTTACCCCAGGGCCATATGGTTTTTTTGGCTGGCTATTCATCATCGACTTCCTACTTTCTCTCTTTTATAATAAAGAGGGATCCCTAAGGATCCAGTGTGTCCCTTTTGCCATTTTAATGATGATAGTATTTGCCACTTTCTTTTCTATTGTGTCTTCTCACAGGGTATTTGGAGATCAGTTGCATGGAGATATGGTAAAAAGACTTATTCCATACACATCAATTGCAGCCATGCTTAGGATATGGATTACCTTTAGATTCAAATCATAAGGTCTATTGAACGTTTGGTTGTTCGTATTCTTCACCACAATTTGGATGTTATGGGATGAACGAAATCATCGAGTTTTCCCAAAAGGTATCTTGCTTAGGATAATTTATCTCTCATATAAGAGAGATGACATATGCTAAAGCCCCGTCCTTCCACTTATCAGATAGAGTAATTGTTGACAACCTCCAGATTACATGGTGTCACCAAAAATACAACATTCCATATCAGTTGCATGGTTTTTTCCTCGTCCAAATCATTTCAAAATAAATGTTTATGGGACTTCATTTCAAAATCCCGGGCTTGTAGGTGGTGGAGGCATTATCAAAAGTAATGTTGGTTCTTTCGTTGTAGCTTTTGGCAATCTTTTGGGAATAGCACTAAATAACTATGCAGAGTTTCATGCCTTACAAGCAGGCATAGACCTGACCATTCAGCTAAATTATTTTTTCCTGTAGATTGAGAGTGATTCGTCATTATTGGTTAATAAAATATGTGATCGATGCAAATCGCCATGGGCACTCAATATTGTTGTTGCTAACTATCGTTATAAGCTTTACAATCGTGTTTGGACCATAGCCCATATTTATCGTGAGGCTGATATTCTTACCAATAAAACCACAGCTTTCTCAAATGCTACTGTTTAGCAATATAGACCAACGGATTTTCTCTCTATTGTGTTATTTCGCAATGTGACACAACTGCCCTATTATGGGGTTGTAAATTTATGAGTTGTACTTTCTTTTCTTTATTAATAAAAAATGAGTTGGGGGCCTTCTCCCCTACTGATTTACCCAAAAAAAAAAGACTCACATGCACTTAAAAAAATGAACGGTCTAGATAATATGTTACAAGATATAATATTTTATACAAAATATTTTTTGTTTTCATATTCATGCATATCGAGGTTAAGATGATCAATTGAATAGTTTTCGAGCAATGAAACAACAATTTTTTATCAGTTTTATTAGGTGCACCTTAATTCTATTGATGCTTTATGTAAACATTTTTCTTTATGAGTTGACCTCCGAAAACTTGCTCCGTAGTCTAAGAGTTTGTTTGAATATCACGTGATTATGTCAAAAGTAAATTATCTTATCTTGAATTAATGTGTCTTAGATGTTATTGTTTTGTTCATAGCTTTGATTATGCATAATTTATTCATTTAGTTTTTGCTACCTAGGCCAAAGCTCAAAATTAACATTATTTTAACAATTTGCAGTAATTTTTAATTGCTTATAGCTAAAACATGTGATTTTCAGTAAATTGCTCTTAATACAGTAAAAACATTTAAAATTATAAGTAAACTACCTATAAACTTATTTAAAATAATTTAAATACATAAGACTAAACTAAAGATACATTATAAGTAAACTACCTATAAGCTTATTTAAAATGATTTTAAATACATAAGAATAAACTAAACACAATTCACTATTGCAATTAATTTTCTTTGAACAATGCTACAACGAGCTTGTCCAAACAGTGCGTTCATCCAAGTAGGGACTAAAGCTTATCTAGAGGGCTAGAAGCCACGTGTACTGATTTTATTCGTAAAAAATAGCACAACTATATTATTACACATAACCCTAATATCGTTTCGATCAATAACCCCTATCTTTTGAGGTTTATTATTAAGCTCTCTCGTCTCTCTAGATCAGATAAGAGTATTTGACATTTCTTCATTCCATTCTCAAAGTCTCTTTTTGGCATTTTCATGGTATTTTATTTGTGTGCCATGTCTTTTTTTAGTTTCTTGTTTGGTGATTTATGGCTTTAATTATTGTTAGGTTATTCTGAACTTATACATATCTCTACCAAAGCTTTGTGATTTTGAAACCCTTCAACGTGTTTTAATTCCATGGATTATGTGCTTATGTATGTCTTTAATACATTTAGGATTTGGACGGATACCCTTTATCTTGATGAAGGGGCATGTTTTGGTTTTAAGGGTTTCAGTAAGGGATTTTGCAAGAGTATTACCTTATAGAGATTGAAAGAGTTATGTTTCAGATTTTGATTAGGGTTTTTATGAATTCCTCTATGTTTTTTGTGTGTTTTTGTATTAAGATGTATTATTGGATCTAGTTTGCGTAATGGAAACTATAATGATTTGCGATCTACTGATTCCATCTACGGGATATTAGTTTTATCTTGAGTTTTGTTGTTCCTTTTCCCGATATTTCCTCTCTTCTGTGAGAGTTATTTGTTAGAAGTGTCTGGTTGGGAAATTTGATAAACTATATTATTTGTTATTTAAAATTTGTTGTATTTTGCAAGGATAATATGTTATGTAGGTAACTTAGTTGGCTTTGAAAATGATTGAGTCATTTGATCTCTTTGTTGTATAGGACCTTGTCAAAGGAATTTGTATATATGACCCATGGTTGGTAGGTGATCATTGATCGTCTTTTTTTTTTTTTTGTTATATCCCTTTTTATGTCTGATTTTGGGTCAGGTTTATAGAGAATACTTTGTGGTTTTTGTTGGAGGATGATTTGTTTTTATATTGATTGATTTGTATATTTTGTCACAATAGATTTGGTTAGGGTTCTTCTTCATGGAGTGGCCCTTTTTTTTGGGTCAACTTCTCATTTGGTGATGACAACTGTCAAATTGTTGACTTGGATTTTGGTTTGATTGTTATGGCCCGATATTTATTTTCAAGGCTAAAATAATCAGAAACCAACAAATCATAGAACCCACCTCAAAGAGCTAAGTTAACTCCTGCCAACCAAATTGCCCTTTCGATATGTGTGTGTGTGTGTTTGTCTGTGTGTCCGGGCATGTGAATATATGAAGGATATAGTTTCTACGAGTCCTTGGACTCACATGTAGAAATGAGTCCCCTCTTAAAAATATGTTTTTGAGATGGGTTTTTGGGTCCAATTTTAACGGAACATAAAATCTCTAACATGGAGATCATGAATATGCAAAAAATATATAAAATTTAAAAATTAAATAACAAGTTTATGAAAATAATATTTAAACCATTAGTTTTAAGTATTTTTAGATGGACCATACATTTGTGTCCATCTTTAAGATGGATGCTCTATGTCTCGGGTTCAAGTGACCAACTTCACTTTGAAATTTCTATTTTGAGCTACTTCAAGAGTCAATTTCGATTGTTGATTTTCACTTTTTATGGATCAAAATCTGAATCCTGGCTGAATGAAACTGAGTCTTTTTTTTGACCTGGATATTAGTTTACTCAATGTAATATTGGATAGTTGTTTACTGATTACCTGTCCTTCTGATAAATTGAATTCACTTTCTTGATGATTGTTCGGTTGCAGAGACATTTGTGAAGAGTGTCATGGCAAGCACAGCATGTTTTGTCATTGTTAGCAGGAATGACATTCCTATATACGAAGCTGAAGTGGGCTCTGCGCTTAAAGTATGTCTTTTTTGTCTATTTAATTTCAGAAGTGTTGGAACTATAATGTGAGAAATTAATGCTTCCTTTTCTAAAGATGATCACCCTGGCTTTCCATGAAGCTTGGAATGGTACTACACATGTACTTGTATTTTTATTCTGGGGTGTGCTTTATTGTCGATCTTGTCCTGATGGTTCCTTTGTGCTGGCTTTCACTTGGACTTCTTGGAAGAGACTGTTATGCTTGGCATCATGGATTATTTGCTAACATACAAACAAGGCTAAAATCGTGCTTTGGTGGATCGTTGAAATCGATAAATTTGAGAAATAGGAACCTTGCTATCACGTATCTATTCTTTTGACTTTATCCACCACCAGAAACAGGAGTACACTTTTTGTTTTGGAATCCAAACCGATTTCCTGTTTGCGCTATACAGGAGATACATTTGTGAGAACGTTTCTTACACAAAAATGCCAACTGTCTAAATCTTAACCATGATTACTTCTGTGGACTTTCGTAGAGCTGATAGTTTTGCTACTTTATGAATTAGTAATAGAAAATTTCATTAATGCATGTTAAAAAAGATAAAAAGTTCCATTCATGAAATTGTTACATGAGACCTTGTTGATGGCTGTCACTTTGGGATATTGCTGTTGTCTTGGCACTGTTTAATTTTCAAACATTCGTGGAGTTGTTGATATCGCCTTTGGCTACGTGATTATATCCTCCGATGATTTTTTGAGGTAGGAATTAGGCTGAAAGGTCCAACAGCACAACGATGGCTTAGTTATAGTTGCAGGGATCATGGATAAGAAGAGGAAGATGATTTTCCTTTAGAATGACTTGTGGCCACGGAGTGTTGATAGTTATCTCATTATTTTGGTGATCTGACTAAGCCCCATGTGTCCTTATGGTCTTAAGGTACTCATTTGTGAGCTATACCACCTTGTGTAGGGGCCTTATATCATAGCCCAAATTGTCCCATTACTTTCAACATAGCAATATTGAATGATAGACCTGCTTGATAATACCATTGGTCTTCAAATTGAGACAACTGATCCCTATCACCTATTTTTTTGAATCTTTTCCTTACGATTGGGGGGAGGTAGGGGAATTGTCAGTTTTTGCCATTTGTCGAGGTCTCTTTTCCCCCCTCCACCAAGTGTATCATCCGCCGCCTAGGCAGGCTGCAGGCAACAGGCATCCTACGTGCATCTCCTAACGCGCCTGGGGCTGCCTCCTGTTTGCTTCCAATTGCCCCTTGGGGCAAATAGGAGGTTGGGTATGTGGCCCGGTACATGTCCGAATAGGGACACACCTAGGCCCCATTCACTTCAGGTTGGCCCTGGGTCACCTAGGTGGTCAGGCAGGCAAATTTTCATTAAACAGGCATCCAGGTATCTTATTGTATTATGTTTGTGGAAAGCTTGCCTTATCACGAGGCATTGTTTTTGTTAGTACAGATTGTTAATCGCATATACAATTCTATTCTACCTTATTTCTGCTGTGAATCCTTGAGTCCTAATTTTTGTGAGTCCTTGAACTGTATTTGATTAGTAGAATTGTAGGTAATTTATTCAACCTTATAACTTTATAGATTTCGAGGATTCGATTCTGATTTATTGTTGATATGTTTCATTTGGGTTTTGGGCCCATGTTGTGCTGGCCCTTCATGATTTATTAGTCTAATTCAACTTGTCTTTTATTTGATTTTCAATTCTATCTACGTTGAATCCTCTAATCATCATCGTCAAAGCTTTTTCTCAACTAATAGGTGTCGGCTACACGAATCGTGGTTTGCCATTCTGCTTTATTAAGGGCTATACTCTTAGTGTAAGTCATAAGTCCCCATATCTTTTCTCACTACTTCCAACCATGTCTTTTGGGCCTATCCCTTGCCCTTTTTGAGTCTTCCCCATGAACTAACTTGCACCTTCTAACAGGTGTTGTACTTGGTCTGCACCACACATGGCCAGCCCACCTAAGTCCACTCTCTCTCATCTTATCGCTTATTGGTGCCGAATTCTCTAATGTATTCTTTTAAATTATTTTTGCTGATGTTTAGTTTCAAGAGCTGTCAGTCTTGATTGATTGTGCTCATCACTAACATTAATGGTGCTAATAATAATGGTGCTCATATATTGATAGCGCAAGGTTTGATTATTTGTATGTTGGACTCGCTTCTGAGTCACCTGATTACTTCAGCTTCTTCCTTGAGTTTATTAACTTTGTGTAACAGGCTTGTAATTCTGATTCGCTTTGTATTAAGCCTAAGATTTAGTGTTTTTTTTATTTATTTTGATAAGATTGTGCATGTTCTCTTTTTGTCTAAGGGGCCTTTTGTCTACCAGACAATCCATTGCATAGAAACAGATTTTTGTGAAATCCCTCATTTTCACTATTTGGTTACACAACAACTGGGGTCTGATAGGAAAATATATTACCGTCTACGGGTCAAAATCATGAAATCAATTTACCACCTACAAAGCTATGAAATGGATTACAGGGGTTGACGGGTAATCTATTCCCCATTGGACCCGAAAGAAACCCTCAACTATGCTTTGTTCTATGGGAGCTTGAGGTATGTTTAACCCACCTTCTATGCACGCTAAATTTCATTTGTCGCTCCATTCTCTCCAAGCTCGCGCCCAATCCCTTAGAGTTTCAGATACATCTCTCTCTCTCTCTCCCCTTGGGGCTTTTCTCATTTCTCTAGGATTATCTCTCTCTCCCCTTTCGGGGCTTCTCTCTCTGTTCTGGGGCTCCCTCTCTCTCTCTCTTCTCCTCCTCCTCCTCCTCCTCCTCTCCTCCATGCGTTCATATTTCAAAATATACCCACAAACAATTGGCAATCTGATCCACACCCAATCTCCTTGGTATTTTAGAAGCTTTTTATTCTTATGATTCATTTTGAGTTATTATGTAATGTAGTTTGGTTAGGCAATTTGATTTTTTTTATTTCTAAGATTTGTATAGAATGTTTATGGTGGTGTTTCTATTGCCTGTGCATGCTTTTTGCATACACTTCATTTTGTCTTTTTTCAATCATAGAAGACCCGCTTTTGGGTCATTTCTCTCTCTAAAAGAAAATCGTTCTATCCTTCTCCACGTTGATTCAATATGGGTCAAAATTGTTTTTTCCTTTTACCTCAATCTCATTAAATTATGTCTTTGTACTTTCTCAAATACCCATTTCTCAAAAGATTTCATATCTATTATATGTAATTCATTGTATTATTCCTCCATTTTGCTCTAGAGAGCTATTGATTTCATAGCTTTAGTTGGTTGGTCTCAAACTCCGTAGTATGCATCTTTTGTTTGCTTTCAAGTCTACAACTTTTATTCTGCAGCCACGTTCATTCGATAACTACTCAAAGTAGTATATTCTATTTATATTTTATTGTTTTTTGCATTTGTTTAGATTTACATAGGCTTACCATGGATGCACTATAGGCTTTTGATAGAGAGGAAACAATAATTTATTTGCTTGAAATATCTTTTGATTTTTCATTTTTTTTTGGGCATTACTACCCAAAACAAAAGCATCTCTATGATAGTAGCATTTAACAGGATGAAAATCACATTTTGTTTTTCTGGTGGTTGGTCACTATTAAAGTTTTCTATTCATTTCATTTGCTTGATTTCATACTGGTTTTCTTGCATTGGTATCTTCTTTGATCTTATATAATGATCTATCTTTTACCATGGTGATTAACACTCAAAATCTCGAGTCTGAAGAAAAGATGAAAATAGCCGCATCACTTGCTGAATTTGCTAGTATTCTAGCTGTAAGAGGTGTTCTACTAGCGACCTATGTGCCTAAATTATCTGCACCAAAGCATAATTGAATTGGTACAAAGTCCCTTAAAACTATAATTAGTAAGTGTTGATGATGACAATATTCTCTTTGGAAATTAATGACTCCATTCACCTATTACCGAAATAATTATAGAGAGAAGAGGGATAAAATAAACCCATGTGGATATTACCTTAACATATTAAAAAACAAAGTAGTTTTATTTGATATTTTATCATAAAAAGGAAGAAAAAAAGGTATAAAAAACCCCACATAACTGTAGATAAAATTAACCCAGTATTTCCTTGCCAAAATGTCGTTAATGCATTTCCCAGATTTTTTCTGGACATAGCCAAACAGTAGCCATGTATTTTCAAGGTTGCATCTAGATGCTACCCAAACGGTAACAATCCATTTGCTGGTAATGTATTACACCAGTTATATATTACTCAGACAATATGTTTCCAGGTACCCAAGCGACCCCTAAGAATTCAATTAGGATGGTGCTAGTTGAACGCTATTTTGGTTATCATTGAAACACGTGTTATTTGGATAGAACATTTTTCTGGATTCAGTGTCCTTGCATAATGAGATCTTTCATTGTCCTCTATTGGACAAAAGAAGAGTATGTCCCTTTCTGTTTTTAAGAAAAAGAGGAGTACATGCCTGTACAATTTTCTCTGAATTTTTTCAGATTTTGCTTGCTGCACTTTCTTTTAGGAGCTGATTATTGTTGACTTGTCCTTTGAACACTCTGCTTGAATATAGAAAGAAGAGGCAGCTCATCAACACCAATTTATATTGCATGCGGCATTGGATATTGTTCAAGACCTTGCATGGACAACAAGTGCTATGTGAGTATTTGTTATTGTTTTACTCTCCCCGCTTAGTTCTTACTACCTTTGTACTACTAAGCACTTGCGCAAGGCCCTGTAGATCTCCCAATAAAGGGTGCTTATGCAAAACTGCAGGGATAGAGGAAGCCTTTGAACCACAGAACCTTATCAACAAAAGATTCCCTGAAATTATGAGCTTACTCTATTTACCTCTAGTTCTATGATGTGTCTCCATTGTTTTTCTCTTTCTTCACCCTTCAACAGAGCTGTAACTATGCTACCTGGAATGTTCTAAATGCAGGTTCTTGAAGGCAATGGATAGATTTAGTGATCTGGTGGTGTCAGTTTATGTTACTGCTGGTCATATCCTTCAGTATTATATTTTAATTTGTTTCATTCTTTGTGCACGAGAGGAGTGTTTGAAATCTGATGGCTGTAAACCTTAGTTGATGATGTTCTGTAAAGGAAAGGACAAATTCACTGTTAATGCTTAAGTTTTGGATCAAATTGTTTTCAGGAGCTGTAAAATGATCGCCTATGTTGATTCTGATGTTTTCTGTTGTAATTGCTTGTTGGACATTTATACAAGTAGATGCACTGTGCTGATATGATAGCTGGAAATTTTGTTGTTTGTATTTTACTGTCTGTCAGCAGTTAGAAAAATGTTTGAACTGGACACAAATGTCAAAGTGAATTTGCTTCTGAAGATCCCAATATAATTTGGATGGTACCTAGTTAACCACAGAGAGGCTTCCTGCGCCATGGGATGATTGTGAGTCAGAGAAGTCGAGAAACACATTATCACATGCATTTTGGGACTGCCCCATCTGCTTATAGATGTAGCATTGGAGATGATTTCATGGTGGTGGGCACCAATGTAAGGTTACAACCCCTGTAGTCTTATCTTTTTTTGGTTAGTACCCCAAATAGAAGTTTCCCATGTTAACATTGCTCAAGTGGTGTAGTTATTTTCGCCATGTCAGGCTGAAGAATGTATCTAATGCTGCACCTATTCTTAGGTACAATCTCTTAGATATAATCTCTAAATCTTTGCATAATCCAAATAAATACAAGTTATCCATTGGAAGGACCATGATCTTAGGTTGCTTTGTTTGGCAGAGGAGATATTTTTTAGTATCTGGGATATTGAAAGCTTGTTGAATTACAAGAGTATAAGAACAATGTATGTTATATAAGTTATCCCTGAATGGAATACTGATTCATTTCATGCTGTCGCTAACTACGTAGACTGTATGTTATATAAGTTATCCGTGGAATGGAATACTGATTCATTTCATGCTATCTCTAACTACATAGAGATTCATGTGTAGTAATTGTTACTAGAAATTCCCAAGAAATGATGGGAACAAGAGCAAGAGCAAGAGAGAAGATTTTGCACCAGGGAACACAAATGAGTTAGCGAGTATTGGTTTTGACTTATGAGTTATGGGAACTACCCCGAAATGAGGTTCTTGTAAGTAGGAGTTCTCACCAAAGCCACAAATTTGAGAAACCCATGGAACTTCCATTTGACATGGTAACCCTCACTTTGATGTTTCTTTACCTTATTTACTGTTACTTTTAACTCATGTTGATACATTTGTAATACAGTTGTCTAACATCTGTATCACATATTTGTTACATGCATAATATTGTTGAAATGGTCTTACTACATATGTGTGTATCTCTCCAGCATAATTGAGGAAATAGCTTGACTTTATGTTGTATACAGCTGTTATTAGAACTCATTTGGGGATGCAGATAACAAACACATTTGTGTTGTTGCCCATCTTTTTCGTTTTTCCCATCTGTTTCCTATGCTATAATTTTTGGATCATCAACCAAAAGCTTTATTACTAATAAAATTACAAAGAAACTCAAAAAATATAAAACAAAGGTCACATGCTTCAGAGTCCAGGTCTGCTTCAATTGGGAAATAGATGTCAAGACAACATCTCAGTATTCCAACGCTGTAATTGTGTTGACATAAAGTGTATCAACCTCTTGGCTATCTACCTTAAGAATGTGCACAAAGGTCGCATTTGTAGTGCCACAAACATCGAAGATCTTACTAATGTCATAGCTATCCTGTGTGGAACAAAGGCCTTTTTCTTATGAGATTGTGACACTCCCCTTATAATGCTAATGGATTCCTTAGATGGAGGGGCGGATCTGTGGACCTGTAAACAACTCACGAGCCTCTGCTAATTTAGAAGTATTCCTGTGGGGCTGGCATATCTCTTAACCTCCCTACCTTCATCTCGAGAAATCTTACCCATATTTCCCAGTCCCAAATTATAGTCTGAACATCCATCAAAAGAACTAGGTGGATTTTTATCACTTTGGATTTGTGAAATAAATAATTTTTATTTTCAAAACTATATTCTAAATTCAAATCTATGCTCACACAGTAAAATCTCTGAGTTCTTGTGAGGATAGTGTTTCCCTTGAAAGTCCTGCCTAAAATGTGTAAAATACCCTAGAAACATGGGGACCCACAGCAAGAACCTGAGGGTATAAATTTTTGGTGGCAAGCTTCTACATCCTAGATGCTAGTTGGTAGGTGATTGCAATACAAGTCAAGGTGGCTGGCTATCGTTTATTTTCTCAGCATTTATTTTCTTATAGGCGAGGTTACATGCAGTTGCCTTGACATAGGCAATTGCTAGGTGACCCCTTTGATCACTACCTGGTATTGTATTCAAAATTTTGTGTAACACGTCTAAGTGTGTTCAAAGGATGCTGAGATTAGTGGGTTCTAACACCTGTCAGACATGTGGACCTTATCTAACTTGAAGCGTGCAGTTAATATGATGCTCATGTTATATTTTAAGTGCTTGCAAATCTTGGAGAATTATTCACTTTGCATAGTTACGCCTTTGAGAATTTGCATGTTTTTCTAACAAAATAAGTGTTCTTTGAGAACCAATTAGGCAATTGATTGATCTTCTTATTTTATCATTTGTTTTTGAATTATTAATATATTTCTTATTGCTTAATGCAATAATGCCTTTTTAAGTCGAACCAGTATTCCATCAATGCTCTAATATCTCAATTATTCTATAGTTTACTAGACCCGAAACACAAAGTTAGAACTTTGGAGGGATGCTCTAGAATCTGAAGGTTTTAAAATTAGCCAGACTAAGATAGGGTATATGGAATACAAGTGTAGTAACAATAGGAGTAGAGACGAGGAAGTAGTTAAGATTGAAGGCCAAGAAATACCAAAAAGAGTGCACTTTCAACATCTTGGGTCAATAATCTAGGAAAGTGGAGAGATTAAGGAAGATGTTGAACATATAATGAGAGCTTGGTGGGCAAGGTATGGATGTGCAACGAGAGTTTGATGTGGTCGCCACATACTAATGAAGCTAAAAGGAAAGTTCTATAGAACAACTGTGAGACCAGCTTTGCTTTATGGGGTGTAATGCTGAGTATTTAAGAAACAACATACCCATAGAATGAGTGTTGTTGAGTACAGATGTTGAGATGGATGAGTGGCAAGACAAGAAGGTATAGAGTTCGAAATGAACACATTTGGGAGAATTTAGGTGTGGCATGAATAGAGATAAGATGAGAGAAAGTAGACTTAGGTGCCTGGCCTTTTGCAACGCAAACCCAATACAACACCTGTTAGGATGTGCGAGTTAGTTCAAGTGGAAGGCTCAAAAAGGGCAAGGGGTAGGTCCAAAAGGACATAGTTGGAAGTAGTGAGAAAAGATATGAGGACTTATAGCCTCACTGAAAGTATGTAATAGAGAAGAATGGCAGATGAAGATTCCCCAATTAGTTGGAAAAATGCTTTGATGATGATGATGATGATTCCACAGTTATCAATGTGGTTGCAATAACTTGTATTGGTTTGAGTTTATCTTGTATTTGGCTGTTTTTGAAATCAATGCTATGTGTTTTGTTGTTAGCTGGTCTCTTACAAAGTTGATGTTGGAGTGTTTTGTTAATCGTTGTTTCTACTGTTGAATGTTTATGTGGTTAGAATATTTCTTTTCATTAACTGGCCATACATACTAGATTGATGCTTCTTCATGACTCCCGCAATGAGGATGGCATAAAGAGCTTTTTCCAAGAGGTTCATGAGCTTTATATAAAGGTGATGCTACTGTCTTCACTAATGCTTTTAGTAAATAATGGTTAATTCTTGTGAAGTTCAGCATAATCTTTCTTCACACTCTCATGCATCATTCCTATTTGCTTATCAAACCATTCGCATCTCCAATTTTTGAAAATAAAATCTCCAATTTTGGTTTGCTAGAAGTGTAGTTGCATTATACTATGATACAACCGTTGCATTAGATCACATATATATATATATATATATATATATATATATATATGTATGTATTATGTGATTTGTTGTGTTGTAAACTGCTTTGGATTGATTTTATTTGAATTTTGTAATATTTTTGGCAACATGTATCTATCTAGTTAAAGGTAGTGATGAAGAATGTTTTTACCAAGAAGATAAAATTTCGCCTATTTGATGTCTTTTGGACTAGCTTTTCACAATTGCAAGTAATACCATACATACATTGTGTATGCTGTGATATGCAGAGGCAACACATCTATGATCTGTTCAGCAAGCAGCTGGTGGAGATGAACCGCTCCATATGCATGGTGGACCAACTGGTGGAGCTACATCCATACAGTGGTTCATCTCCACCACCAATAGGGATGGTGGATGCACTACTTGTGTATCACAATCTATGCAATGTGTTCATGCTATACTTCCATAAATAGAAAATCCAAGGTACATGAAGAATGGCCAGTAATATTAGATTCATAATATACTTGTCATTAAGCAAAAGCAAGTAAACAGTCTTACATTAATCAGATTTACAATATCATTCTATCATTAATTTATCTTTAAGCTGCATTTTGTTAGACCCGCATCAAACTATGGTTATTTAGGTTAATTCAGTCCTTATGTAACATGGATTAGAGATAGCAATGGGTTGGGCCTGGGTTAGGCCGGGCTGAGCCTGGGTTAGGCCGGGACTGGCCCAGGCCCACAGTCGGGAGCCCCCCGGCCTTGCGCATAGGAAGGACCAGGTTGGGCATTTACCCTCTCTTTAGCTTTGGACAGGCCGAGACAAGAACTGATGCGACCATGCTGGGCCATGATCTGCCAGTCCTGGCCGTATGGGCCACATATATCCTAGGCCAGGCTTAACTGGCTGGACCAGGCCAGTCTAGCCAAGCTGGGCCAGGTTGCTTTGGAGATTCACAAAGACGGATTCTTCAGGTTCGGTTTCCTAAGCATGGCAACGTGTTGCAGTTTGAAATGCTTGTATGTGCTATTCAAAATATTAACAAAATGCAAACGTGTATAAAAGCATGCTCCATGTTTGCAGTAGCGTGTTTAGCGAAAAACTTTAAAACAATATATTGGTCAGCTTTGTTATCAATTTCACGTTGCTTCAGCCCTTTCAGCTGAAATCTCTAGGTTTTACATTTAAACTGAAGCAAAGCAAATTATTGCATGGTATATTTCACTATATTGGCATTAATTTAAAAAATTCCCCTTAAATTTTCCACATCTGTGGGTCCATAAAAAACACTTCCAACCAAACTTGGAGAGAAGCAAACTCCATTGCTGTCTCTCTGGCCCAAGGATGGGGCTGGCTGACCAGTCAGATGTATCTCCCAATCTCGACCATCCGAAGACACAAATGGGCGCTCTCTTGACCAAACCAACATTTTTTACAAACAAACATTATCCACACCTTTTATAGCTGATTTCATCACATACCTTTTTGTATACCTCAAATAAATGCAAAGTTGATCCATCAAAAATTTCAGAATGCCCTTGATGTATATAAAATTTGGTAAAGTGTCCCTCTACAGTATTAAATTTTTTATAGTAGTATGTCTGTGATAATATGAATATAAAGAATATACTTTACATTTTGATCATCATCATTATCATTTGCCTTTTTTCAATTAATTGGGGTCGGTTACATGAATCTTGGTTCTTTCCATTCTACTTTATTAAAAGCCATATCCTCAGTGAGGCCATAAGGCCCCATGTCTTTTAAGACTACTTCCAACCACGTCCTTTTGCGCCTACCCGTTGCCCTTTTCAGTCCTTCCACTTGAACTAATTTGCACCTCCTAACAAGTGCTGTATTTGGTCAGCACCACATATGGCCAACCTACTTAAGTCTACTCTCTCATTTTATCGCCTATTGGTGGCACGTCTAAATTCTCTCAAATAGATTCATTGTGAGTTCTATCCCTTCTTGTCTTTTCACTCATCCATCTCAACATCCTCATTTTTGCAACACTCATTCTAAGTATATTGTTTTTTGTCCACCCAACATTCTGCCTCATATTTAGTCGGCAGCAGACATGGCCGGCCCACCTAAATATATTGCTTTTTGTCTGCCCGACATTCTGCCTCATAGAGCAAAGCTGGTCTTACCGCTGTCCTATAGAACATGCCCTTCAGCCTCATTGGTATGCGGCGATCACATAAAATTTCAGTTGCACATCTCCACTTCGTCCACCCAGCTCTAATTCTGTGTGCGACATCTTCCTCGATCTCTTCATTGTCTTGGATTATCAACCCAAGATATCAAAAGTGTGGTCTTTTTTGTACTTCTTGGCCGTCAATTTTAACTACTTCCTCTTCTCTACCCCTATTATTATTAAATTTTCATTCCATATTTGTCTTAGTTCGACTAATTTTAAAACCTTTGGATTCTAGAACATCTTTCCAAAGTTCTAACTTTGTGTTGATACCATTTTGGGTCTCATCAATCAAAACAACGTGCAAAACGGTACCTCATCCAGTAGGTGCCTAGTTAAGTTATCCATAACTATGACAAAGACGTACGGGCTCAATGCTGACCCCTAATGTAGACCTATTGTCATTGAAAACTCACTCGTTTCTTCATTAGTTGTTCGTACACTAGTAACCGTTCCATCATACATATCTCTCACCATACTTTACATTTTGATTTATTTAAAAAATGTCTAGTCACTCATATTTTTTGAAAATTACTTGTCTTTTTCTAAATACCTCTGAAGAGCTCCCTCGATTAATTAGAGAGCCAAAGTGCTTCCATTTCCCCAACATAAACAAAGAGCCATAAGGGATTTTTATAACATTGGTTGGTAGTAGTTCTTACTGATATGCCATGACCTATTTACGAAAGTGTCACCACTGGTTGTTAACTTGTGCGAGATTTGGATTTCTATCAGCATTGAAACAGCTGGTTACAGCATGCTCTATGGACTGATTCCTGGGGTAGTAACTGGTTTATTCACCGATGAGTCGAATTTTGTTGGCATTTAACTGGTGACCTTTTTGGAATAACTCGTGTTTTATTTTAAATTACATCATCTACCAAAGTTCAACATTTTGTGTATTGTTTAGTTCATCTCTTTGGAGGGCCTAGTAATTTTAGTTAGAGTTTCCATCCCAATTATTCTAGACCGAAGAATTGAATTTGCTACTTATGTTATTGCGCCTTTGATACGAAATAAAGATTGCATGTGAAGGAAGATCCGGGTTTGCCTCCAAGCAGATTGCTGCGCTTTTGTAATATAGATGTTTCCCCAATATTCAGTACAATGTGGACCAATCTAATGTTTCATCTTTTGCTTATTTTGATATCTTAGCCAAATAAGAAAGATATGAAAAGCACCATCAATGACTGTTCTAACTTCAGCTCTTTCTGAACCTTTTATATGAATCCTGATTTTACCACATTCCCGTTTACTTTTATCTCATTTCTTGTACTACTTTGTTTTTGATTTCTTTTACAATATTGGTATTATATTTCTCGTGTTATTTTTGACAATATGAATGTTTCGCAGATTCTCCTAAACCCACTGTACTTGCCGGGATCACGGATAACTTCCTCTCACTTCGATACCAAAGTTCGGGCACTTGCGAGGAAATTTCTCTAGAATCTCCCTTCTCTTTCTTTCCCTCTCCTTTGCCTTACGGTTGATTTTTCTGTGTGGTTTCGCCATTGAGAGCAAAGATTTACCTCACCTGTAATTGCTCCATGTTTTCTATTTTTATGATGCACACCATTCCATTTCAGTTTGAGGTTTCTGCTAGCGCCTATGCTACAGGTACTTCAAAATTTTTTTATTGCAATCCAAATCTATTAAATTTGTCATGTTCATTTACTTATCTAAATGTACACTATTACTAAGAGCATACTTAAATGTGTTAATTCCAACACGGTGAACGCAAAACCGGCCGATCTAACTGCTAACCGGCCGGTCAGATCGGAACTGCTAGCATTAACAATGAATTTGTCCCTTCCTTTACAGAACATCATCAACTAAGGTTTACAGTCATCAGATATCAAACACTCCTCTCGTGCACAAAGAATGAAACAAATTAACATATAATACTGTAGGATATGACCAGCAGTAACATAAACTGACACCACCAGATCACTAAATCTATCCATTGCCTTCAAGAACCTGCATTTAGAACATTCCAGGTAGCATAGTTACAGTTCTGTTGAAGGGTGAAGAAAGAGAAAAACATTGGAGATACATCATAGAACTAGAGGTCAATAGGGTAAGCTCATTATTTCAGGGAATCTTTTGTTGATAAGGTTTTGTGGTCCAAAGGCGTCCTACATCCCTGCAGTTTTGGGTAAGCACCCTTTTTATTGGGAGATCTACAGGGCCTTGTGAGTGCTTAGTGGTGCAAAGGTAGTGAGAACTAAGAGTGGAGAGAAACAATAACAAATACACTCACATAACACTTGTTGTCCATGCAAGGTCTTGAACAATATCCAATGCCGCATGCAATATAAATTGGTGTTGATGAGCTGCCTCTTCTTTCTATATTCAAGTAGAGTGTTCAAAGGACAAGTCAACAATAATCAGCTCCTAAAAGAAAGTGCAGCAAGCAAAATCTGAAAAAATTCAGAGAAAATTGTACAGGCATGTACTCCTCTTTTTCTTAAAAAAAGAAAGGGACGTACTCTTCTTTTGTACAATAGAGGACAATGAAAGATCTCATTATGGAAGCAAACTGATTCCAGAAAAATGTTCTATCCAAATAACACGTATTTCGATGATAACCAAAATAGCGTTTAACTAGCACCATCCTAATTGAATTCCTATGGGTACTTGGAAACATATTGATTGGGTAATATATTAATGGTGCAATACATTACTAACATACTACATTACCTGTAAATGGATTGGTACCGTTTGGGTAGTATCTAGATGCAACATTGAAAATACATTGTTACTGTTTGGCTATGTCCAAAAGAAATCTGGGAAATACATTACCGACATTTTGGTTAGGAAATACTGGGTTAATTTTATCTACAGTAATGTGGGCTTTTTTATACCTTTTTTTCATACCTTTTTTTTTTTCCTTCTTATGATAAAATATCAAATAAAACTACTTTGTTTTCTAATATGTTAAGGTAATATCCACAGGGGTTTATTTTATCACTCTTCTCTGTATAATTATTTCGGTAATAGGTGAATGAAGTCATTAATTTCCAAAGAGAATATTGTCATCATCATCACTTATTAATTATAGTTTTATGGTACTTTGTACCAATTGAATTATGTTTTGGTGAAGATGATTTATGCACATAGGTCGCTAGTAGAACACCTATTACAGCTAGAATACTAGCAGCTTCAGGAAGTGACACGGCTATTTTCATCTTTTCTTTTATACTTGAGATTTTGATTGTTATTCACCATGGTAAAAGATAGATCATTATATAAGATCAAAGAAGATACCAATGCAAGAAAACCAGTATGAAATCAAGCAAATGAAACGAATAGAAAACTTTAATAGTGACCAACCACCGGAAAAAGAAAATGTGATTTTCATATTGTTATGTGCTACTATCATAGAGATGCTTTTGTTTTGGGCAGTAATGCCAAAAAAAAGACAAAAAATCAAAAGATATTTCAAGCAAATAAATTATTGTTTCCTCTCTATCAAAGCCTATATTGCATCCATGGTAAGCCTATGTAAATCTAGACAAATGCAAAAATTATAGAATATAAATAGAATGTACTACTTTGAGTAATTATCGAATTAGCATGGCTGCAAAATATAAGTTGTAGACTTAAGAGCAAACAAAAGATGCATACTACTGAGTTTGAGACCAACCAACTAAAAGCTATAAAATCAATAGCTCTCGAGAGCAAAATGGAGGTATAATACAATGAATTACATATAATAGATATGAAATTTTTTGGGATATGGGTATTTTAGAAAGTACAAAGACATGATTTAATGAGATTGAGGTGAAAGGAAAAAACGTTTTGGACCCATATTGAATCAACGTGGAGAAGGATAGAACGATTTTCTTTTAGAGAGAGAAATGACTCAAAAGTGGGTCTTCTGTGATTGAAAAAAGACAAAATGAAGTGTATGCAAAAAGCATGCACGGATAAAAGGAACACCACCACAAACAATCTATACAAAGAAAAACAATTAAATTGCCTTACCAAACTACTTTACATAATAACTCAGACTGAATCATAACAATAAAGCTTTTAAAATACCAAGGAGATTGGGTGCGGATCAGATTGCCAATAGTTTGTGGGTATATTTTGAAATATGAAGGCATGGAAGAGGGAGACGAGGAGGAGAAGGAGAGAGAGAGAGAGCCCTAGAGCACAGAGAAGCCCCAAAGGGGAGAGAGAGAAAAAACCCTAGAGCAATGAGAAAAGCCCCAAAGGGGAGAGAGAGAGATGTATATGGAACTCTATGGGATTGGGCGTGAGCTTGGAGAGAATGGAGCGACAAATGGGATTTAGCGTGCATAGAAGGGGGTTAAACGGACCTCAAGCTCCCCGTAGAACAAAGCATAGTTGAGGGTTTTTTTCGGGTCCGATGGGGAATAGATTACCCGTCACCCTGTGTAATCCATTTCATAGCTTTGTAGGTGGTAAATTGATTTCATTATTTTGACCCCATCGACAGTAATACATTTTCCTATCACACCCCAATTGTTGTGTAACCAAACAGTGAAAATGAGGGATTTCACAAAAATCCTTTTATGTTAAATGGGTTGTCTAGTAGGCAAAAGGCCCCTTAGACAAAAAGGGAACATGCACAAGCTTATCAAAATAAATGAAAAAAACACTAAATCTTAGGCTTAGTACAATGCGAATCAGAATTACAAAAGGGAACATGCACAAGCTTATCAAAATAAATAAAAAAAACACTAAATCTTAGGCTTAGTACAATGCGAATCAGAATTACAAGCTTGTTACGCAAAGTTAAAGAACTCAAGGAAGAAGTTGAAGTAATCAGGTGACTCATAAGCGAGTTCAACAAACAAATAACCAAAACTTGCCTTATCAATATATGAGCACCATTAATGTTAGTGATAAGCACAATCAATCAAGACTGACAGCTCTTGAAACTAAACATCAACAAACATAATTCTATACTTCAAAAGAATAAATTAGAGGATTCGACATCAATAAGCGATAAGATGAGAGAGAGTTGACTTAGGTGGGCTGGCTATGTGCGGTACAGACCCAGTACAACACCTGTTAAGAAGTACGAGTTATTTCTAGAGCAAGGTTCAAAAAGGGCAAGGAGTAAGCTCAAAAGGACATGATTGGAAGTATTGAGAAAAGATATGAGGACTTATGACTTACACTAAGAGTATAGCCCTTAATAGAGCAGAATGACAGACCACGATTCGTATAGCCGGCACCTATTAGTTGAGAAAAAGCTTTGACGATGATGATTAGAGGAATCAATGTAGATAGACCTGAAAATCAAATAAAAGACAAGTTGATTTAGACTAATAATTCATGAAGGGCCAGCACAACATGGGCCCAAAACCCAAATGAAACATATCAACAATAAGTCAGAATCGAACCCTAGAAATCTATAACGTTATAAGGTTAAATAAATTACCTACTATTCTACTAATCAAATACAGTTCAGGGACTCACTCAAATCAGGATTCAAGGATTCACAACAGAAATCATGTAGACTAGAATCGTAAATGAGATTAAAAATCTGTACTAAAAAAAAAAGTGCCTCATGGTGAATGAAAATTTGCCTGCCTGACCACCGAGGTGACCCAGGGGCAACCTAAACTAAATGGGGCCTAGGTGTGTCCGTATTAGGACATGTACTGGGCCACATACAGAACCTCCTAGTTGGGCAATTGGAAGCAAACAGGAGGCGGCTCGGGGCGCGTTAGGAAATGCACGTAGGATGCCTGCTGCCTGCAGCCTGCCTAGTCGGCCGATGATACACTTGGTGGAGGGGGGGAAAAAAGCCCTCAACAAATGGCAAAAAATGACAATTCCCCTATCTCCCCCCAATCCTAAGGGAAAGATTCAAAAAAAAGGGGGTGATAGGGATCATTTGTCTCAATTTGAAGTCCAATGGTATTATCGAGCATGTCTATCATTCAATATTGCTATGTTGAAAGTAATGGGACAATTTGGGCTATGATATAAGGCCCCTACACAAGGAGGTATAGCTCACAAATGAGTACCTTAAGACCATAAGGACAGATGGGGCAAGAGTCAAATCACCAAAATAATAATATAAATATCAACACTCCGTTGCCACAAGTCATTCTAAAGGAAAATCATCTTCCTCTTCTAATCCCTGATCCCTGCAACTACAACTAAGCCATCACTGTGCTGTTGGACCTTTCAGCCTAATTTCTACCTCAAAAAATCATCTGAGGATATAATCACGTAGCAAAAAATGATATCAACAACTCCACGAATGTTTGAAAATTAAACATTGCAAAGACAACAGCAATATCCCAAAGTGACTGCCATCAACAAGGTCTCATGTAACAATTTCATGAATGGAACTTTTTAAGGTCTCATGTAACAATTTCATGAATGGAACTTTTTATCTTTTTTAACATGCATTAATGAAATTTTCTGTTTCCAATTCATAACTAACAAAGCTATCAGCTCTAAGAAAATCCACACTAGAAGTAATCACGATTAAGATTTAGACATAGTTAGCTTTTTTGTGTAAGAAAGGTTGTCACAAATGTATCTCCTGTATAGCGCAAACAAGAAATCGGTTGGTTTGGATTCAAAAACAAAAAGTGTACTCCCGTTTCTGGTTTTGGATAAAGTCAAAAGAATAGATAGGTGATAGCAAGGTTCCTATTTCTCAAATTTATCGAGTTCAAAGATCCAGCAAAGCAGGATTTTAGCCTTGTTTGTATGTTAGCAAATAATCCATGATGCCAAGCATAACAGTCTCTTCCAAGAAGTCCAAGTGAAAGCTAGCACAAAGGAACCATCAGGACAACATCAACAATAAAGCACACCCAGGAATAAAATACAAGTACATATGTAGTACCATTCCAAACTTCATAGAAAGCCAGAGTGATCATCTTTAGAAAAGGAAGCATTAATTTCTCACATTATAGTTCCAACACTTCTGAAATTAAATAGAAAAAAAAGACATACTTTAACCGCAGAGCCCACTTCAGCTTCATATATAGGAATGTCATTCCTGCTAACAATGACAAAACATGCCGTGCTTGCCATGACACTCTTCACAAATGTCTCTTACAAATGTCTCTGCAACCGAACAATCATCAAGGAAGAGAATTCAATTTATCAGAAGGAGATGTAATCAATAAACAATTATCCAATATTATAGTGAGTAAACTAATATCCAAGTCAAAACAAAAGATTCAGTTTCATTCATCCAGGATTCAAATTTTGACCCACAAAAAGGGAAAATCAACAATCAAAATTGACCCCTGAAGTTGCTCAAAATAAAAATTTCAAAGTGAAGTTGGTCACCTGAAATTCAGATTTTAGTTAATTCGATAAACAAAATTTCAAAGGAATGCAATAAAGCATGTTAGCATGAGTTACAGATAAACTAAATTGAAATTTCGAGAGAATTTTTGCCATTTTCAGTGTATATATATATATATATATATATAGGGCAGTGATCTAATGCAACGATTGTATCATAATATAATAGTAGAAATGCATCCCCTGACACATGGAACAATTTTCCATACATGAAATTTAAATATATATTATAGCATTTGCATAAAGATAAATCTAGAGAAAGATCTCTATTAAACACATTTGGTTAAAAAATATAATTCGAGAATAATTTGCAATAATATAATCTAGAGAGGTTGAGATCCTGGGGTATATGAGAATAACACATGCAGAATAAATTTTAAAGAAAAAAGTGAAATGCCAACTAAGAAGATAAATTCCGAAGGCTTACTGCAATTTCAAAAGAAAAAAATTTCCAAGGCTTACTCGTAATATGAGAACTCAAAGAGAATTTTTATCTTGGAATTTTATTATTAGGGGGTGAAAACAACATATTGGGCAATAAAAAAACAATATATATCTGTAAAATGAGTAAGGATGTGTGAGATGGATGAGTGGTAAGACCATAAAGGAATGAATTCAAAATGAATACATTGGAGAAACTTCAGGGTAGCTCTAATATGTGATAAAATAATGGAGCATAGATTTAGGTGGTATGGTCATGTGCAATGTCGACCTAAGACAATACTCATGAAGGGTAATTTGTTTATAGTGAAAGGATCTAAAGGGCAAAGAAAGGCAACACAAGACATGAATGAAAGTAGCGAAAGAAATACGGTCTTATAATCTAATTGAGGGTATAACTCTTGTTAGAGCGGAATGGTAGAATGAGATTCATAGAGCTAACTCCAAATAATTAAAATAATACTTAGATGATGATAATGATAAGAGTAAAATAGATTTCATTGTAAAAATACCATGAAATCCACTTATTTCATTAAGATTTAAAAGTGCAGTTGACTTTTATCATTGAAGTTGTCCCACACCAAGTTGCGAAGAGTAAAGTGGCATACAGTACACTTCAAAGCCAAAATACTCCTGTATGTGTATATTATCTATTTACTTTGGGCAAAACCTAATTTCGGAGTAATTTTCGGACCCTAAATTTTGGAATTGTAACTTTTTGGACCTATTGACTAATTTCAAATCCTCAAGATTAAAAAATCCAAGTTGTGCTCTCTATACACTTGAAAAAAACATTGTTTCAAGATTGATTAGAGACCATCAAAGCTTTGAAGAGGAAGATCTTAGTGTTAACAAACTCATAATTTAAAATTGTTATTTGAAAAATAATTAAAAACCTCATAATTCAAAAGTTTATTTGAAAATAATTATTTACTAATTTTTTAACATGTTTTAAAAATTTTATATTAAAAGAAAAAATATTTCCAGGTAGGTCCTCTGAGGGAGTTGGTGCACACATAAACGCTAGAGAGAGAAGGGGAGCGCATAAAAAATTAGAGAGGGAGGGGAAGAATGGAGGAGGGGGAAGCAGAGGAGAGGAGGCATCTGACAGCAGGAGGAGAAGGGAGGGGCCATCTTTCTCTCTCTACTTCGTGGCCTACAGTGGATGGCCTATTGGGCCTCGACGAAGAAGACGCCGTTAAATACGCTCGCAACTTCTTTAGGGCTGGCTTCTTTCTCCTCCCCTTCCTCTGGTTCCTCAATTCCTTCTACTTTTGGCCTGTCCTCACTCGCTCTTCGTCTTTCCCTCGCCTTCGCCCTTGTAAGCATCCCCCACACACTCTCTCTGTATTTTTCCTCTTTATTTCTCTAATCTCCCTCTATCGGGTTGATTATTTTTCATATTTTTTTGATTGATGATTATTTTTCATTTTTTTAACATGATTTTGGTGTTGGGTTCTCTCTCTCTATGCTTAATCACTTATCTCTTGTGTTTTACTGGTTCTCTATCTCTATTCATTGATTGTCTCTCTTTGTCGAGCTAATTATTCTTAATGGGGAGCACGATTTCAGTTATTCTGTTCAGCATTTTATTTGTGCCCTGTTTTGTTGATGCATTTGCTTTCTTTGGCCATCTGTGTTCCTCCTGAGTTGCGAATCGTGAAAACGAAAAATGTTGTTTCGTTGTCGACTGAAACTTCCTCTATGGCCTACGTTTCATTTTGTATAATTTAGATGTTCTATGATTTTTGATTCGTTGTAATGTGTGAGATGAGGATTTGGATGGCCTATTCATTTGTTATTTCATATGTTTTTTAGTTGTTTGGCATCTGGCTGCATATCCTCAAATAATGTTGTGTTTCGAAACTCATGTAGTTGCAATACAAAAAAGTAAGGAGGAGCTCAAATGGGTATGCTTTGGTCGCCGCTCGCTAGTTATCAGTGAATGATTACTATTAGCTTTTCTTGTGCATTTTTCTATGAGTATCATTTTATGAGCCATTTTTCCCTCTTGAGATATTGCAGATGCGTTCTGTGTAGTTGTGACTGAAATTTTTTTCATCGAGCTAGTGTTCAGTATTTGATTTTCTATAAAAAAAAATATTTTCCTGTTTCTAAATTGTGAGCATGTCATCCTTCTGGTTGCTTTTATATTTTCCCCCTTTGTGGAGGTCTCACGTGACATATGATCTGGTGAAGTAAAGTGGTTTAGGGCTTTCATCTTGATGTTTTCATCTCTTGAATTGCTGCATTTAACCTCCATATTTATAAGAATGATTGATTCATGCGGGCTGGACCGCATTTCTACAATATGCGGTCCAGAGGTATAAAGCATCCATCTTAAAGATGGATGCAAATAGGTGGTCCATCTAGAAACAATTGTAACTAACGGTCTAAATGTTTTCTTAATATGATTATTATTTATTGTTTTCAATTTTTTTTTTTTCATATTCATGATCTCCATGTTAAGGATTATATATTATCTAAAAATTAGGATCAAATTATATTTTAAAAATATATTTATTGCCAACCTACATTTCTGCATGTGCAGGCTTGGCCGCACGCTAACTGCGTCCTAATTATAAAATCATGACTGTGGCGTAGAATATGATTGATGAGTTTTAGTTCTTGTCTGTGTATAGGTACCACAACATGCTCTCTAGTTATTCGGTTTATAGTGTCTTTAGTGGGAAATTATTGCATGGTTGGGTATAGTTACTTATGTTCTATATCTTTGGGACTACATGATCATTGGTACTGCCATGATACCCTTTCTACTAATGTCTGTGTTGCACACATGTCACTCATGTACTGTAAGTATTGGTACTGCCATAATACCCTTTCTACTAATGTCTGTGTTGGACATATGTCACTCATGTACTGTAAGTATTAAGAGAATAAGGAGTCCCCATGGGGCTCATTTTTTCATGTTTGACATGCTATCTCATATGCAGAATGTTTTTTCGGTTTAAAGAACTCTTTTTTTTTTTTGACAAGGTTACATAGGAATGGAACTGGAGGCGTTAGGCTATGAAAACCCAGCCTTTACCGTCTTGACCCAAGCCCGATTCCTAGGTTTAAAGAACTCCTTGTTTTGCACTCTCTCTTCCTAATAGAGCTGGGTTTTGGTATAGAGAAAACTGTGGTTTATGGTTTTGGTTATTTTGCTTTCTCGCACATTTTAATCTGAAATTTTCTATGAAGTAAGCTGCTTTGTGGCCCGAGATTGAACTCTTAAGGTATACTGTGGCTTTTGTTAGAGTCAACAAAATCATCATCAGAGCCTGTCCCCAACTATTTGGGGTCGGCTACACGAATCCTGAACCTGTTAGAGGCAACGAAATAAATTTTTTTTTAAATCTATTGCATTGTTCTTTAAATTGATAGTATGCTATATATTGTTGACTGTTGATGATAAACTGCATAGCGCAGCTGAAAGCGATGATTACATTTACAAAACTGCATACCTGTCCTTGCTGCTTGCATATATATTCCATACGATAGTTTTGACAAATCTTCTAAATATGATATTTCTAGTTTCTACCTGTGAACCACTGGATTTGTTTTGGTCTTTTAGAAGATTTTTCTTTCCCATCTTGGTACTAGCACTAAAGTTGTTTTGTGAATCATTTTCTTGATGTTTCTGAGAAAAAGCTCTTTTTTGTGTGTGAGTGTGTGCGTGTGTGTTGCACGGGCGCTTGCACGAGTGCATGTGACGGTGTGTGTATGTGTTGCACGGCGCGCTTGCACGAGTGCATGTGACGGTGTGTGTATGTTTTGGTGTTGGGATGGGGTGCATAGTCCAACAAGAGATTTATTTCTTCCTATGCATGGTGATGGAACAGTTAACTGGGTTAGCTTTTTGATGCTTAGATTTCGGTTGGAAAGTCAATAGAATTGTTGGTTGTTTTAGAGAGCAACCAAAGATGCCGGGGTTTTCCTTATGACATAGCATGATTCGCTTTGTTCATTATCAAGATCTTTACTTTGATAAAATGTTCCATTTGTGTACATTTGATGAGCATACAGGATTACTGACATGTTGTTATAATAAAATATCACTGCCATCTATATGAATGTGACACTGTGATAGATATCCTTTAATCCATTTAGAACCTCCATCGAACACAGAAGTTCTGATGTCTTGGATTATGTGCTGCTTACTAAATGGAACTAGGAAGCTTCACTTGGAAAACCTTAGCTTCTGGTTTTTGTTATTGAAATTACTTACAATACTTACAACCCTTGACACTGGAAGGGAACTTACTATCAAGTATATGATGCTTGTCTCATGCTTGCTTCAGAACACTATCCACACAGCTAAGGTATTATGTTATCAAGCTTTTGGATAACTAATGGTGACCTGCCTTTCTCTTATGTGGAATATATTGTTTGTTTTTTATCCTGAAACTTTGGGGAGAAAAGCTGAAATTTATGAAAACTTAAAGTATCGCAAGTTCTTATGATCGTCCGAAAGTAGTGGATGGACAAGACAATCTAGATTCTTGAGTGAATCACTCAGTAATTCAAACAATTATTATCAATATTTGAGATCCTTTTTTGCAACTTTTGATTGATTATGTTGTTTGGTTGAATTGACTTTTTGGTTGAGAGCAGGAGAACTTTGGTGATCCTATGAACTTTTCGAGGCCTCCAAGTGATGATGAGTGGCTCAAATGGCATATAAGGTCATATCATATGATGCCTTGGAGTAATATTGCTGGGGGTATCTTTTGGAGATATGAACAATTGGAAATATTAGTGGAGGTTTTTCTACCCATGTTTGTGGGAAGAGTGGTGCATGACAGTGAGCTATAAAGGCATAAATTGTTTTCCTCTAGTGTATATCATTTTAGGAAAAAGAATGAGATGAGAAAGAAGTTAGAAAGATTGGAGAAAGTAGGAGGAATGATGAGCAAGGTTAGGATCAAAATTTCTGCCTCATTATGAGTTAGATGCATCAATTGGAATACCTTATCATCATCATCATCATCACCCGAGCCTTATCCCAAATACTTGGGGTTGGCTAACTGGAATACCTTATGTAATGCTTAAATTGATTAACCACCATCACATGGCAATTGCATAGGAGGCCATTGGTTGGAGAATATCTTTTTATCAGTAATATATGATTCAAATCACAGCAAAGAATGATTAAAAACTTGAAATAATCAAAAGGCATACAAACTGGCAAAAGTTGAAAATAATCATCATGGTGGCAACTGTCCCTAATTAAACCAGCAATATTAGCCTGTCCTCCTGACAGTTTGCTTCCCTAGAACAGGGACTACATTGAATACTTGAATAGCATATGACAAATCCAAATTTGTCTTGGAGAATTTGTCACCAATTAAGAAAATGAATAGTCTACATAGCATATGGAGAGAAATAATTGAGTCACTTACGGAATGTATTTGGATTCATTAACTTGCAGGCCCTCAGCCATAAAGATATTTTGTCTTTTGAGCAGATGACCTTATTTGTGAAATGAAGATAATTGTTCAAAGTGACATTCCTAAAATCAGAACTAGGGTGCCTTGGCACAGCTGTTTGAGGTACATAACTCAGTTTTGATAGGAGATTCACCTATCAGAAAACATCTGGAAAGATTTGGATAGTAGATCCAGGAATCCAAAGCCGGATAGAGTATTAGGATCATCTAAGGACACCCATTCAATGCTTATATTGCTGCAAGCTTTTGACTAACATTGGAGTTCTTTCTGGTTTTCGCTTGGTTTCTCTAATAGGTGAAGGTGATTCCCTCAAATTTATTAGATGGACCTGAAGAGAGGAGTAGCCTTTACTAGCTAATATTATGGATGGGATTCTTATGTGAGGGACATAATTCCTCCTATCTCTTAACAATTTACTCCAGGAGAAGCTATTTGTGATAGCTGATAAGGTTGGTTTGGCCAATCAGGTATGTTGGCCAGGTTGGGTCCCGGTACTCGTGCCCATAGGATCAGGGCCAGGGTCAAGATTCGCAGCCTAGGAGTGGCTTGGGACTGGACTCAGACCCTGACTTGGACCCAATCCGAATAGCTTGCACATGGACCCGGACCTGGGCGGGGTCCAAATTACTTGGATGCAGACCTGATTGGGTCTGAATCATTTGGATCCAGACCTTATTCGGGCCTAGAAATTAAAGCAAATAAAAACATTTCTTTTATATAATATTTAGTATATATATTTTACACATTTTCTATCCTTGGTACTGGGTTGGGTCCATCCAGACCAACCTGACCTGATAGCCGTGCATGTCTAATCTGGACTCGAGCCGGTTTGGGTCCAAGTCATTTGCATATGAACTCGACCCGCCGGGTCCAAAACCTGAACCCTGACCCTCACCCTGACCCTGACCCTGACCCTGACCTGGTTCTGGTCAACTCTGTTGGGTCGACTTGATTGCCACCTCTGACCAGCCTAAATGGTAATAAGGCTGTTCTTGGGCCTACAATTGATGCAAATCAGGGTTTGATTCTTCTTAAATCAGCACAAGAAGCAAAAAACTTGAAAAGATAACCAGCCTTGAGGGAAAACATAAGTACAGAAGGAAGTAAACTAGCAAAGTAATGAGGAATCCTCTTCCAAGTTTTATGAACTTAAAGTTCTTCGACAAAAATAATAGATCTCCCTTTAATAACAAGTATTTAAGCAAGTTAAAAAGCCCTAAACCACTACTAAAAAATCTTAGCCATCCGTTCTCTTTTAATCCTAGACATCCATTATTGACTACATATAAATGGCTAGACTCTGCCCCTAATAAAATCAGAAGTAACAACTAAAATAAAAAAACAATAAAAACATAATTTGTAACTTAATAAACCCTAGTAACCTATGGTAGAAGAATAGCAAAAATAAGCCCTAAAATCCCCAAAATATATCCCTTAATCCGCTTAATTAAGATCCATAGAAAAACCCAAATTTGTCAATCCTGTGCATGAATCAGTCTCCTTTGATTGGAGAAAACTTGTCCTTGAGTCTTGAAGGGGGTTAAAATGAGATCTGCATCAAATCCATAGCCTTTTTTTTCGCTTCGTTCTCTATTGGCTTTGAAAGTATAAAGGGTTGTGAAAACGCCTTAGGAGACGGATATTTATACATAGATGGAGGAATTAATGCAAATATATTAAATTCAACTACCATTTTGTTGTTTATCATTGACTATTTCCTCTTCAAAATTAAGCCACTCCCCTAAAATTGTGTTTTTTGCAATATGGATTGGACTATGAAACATGGAAATATCAATTTTCATTCTAGGTTCCTTGTCTTTCCCCAACACTCGAAGGGTTCAATCATTGTACTCTCCATTAACCAGGGCCCCCAAGGTTAGTTAGGAACGAGCTTCGCCTTCATTGCCTTGATTTCCAACTCTGGTCTCTGGATTTGTTTCACATCGAAGCTCACCTACTTCATGCCTGAGTTCATCTACTGCTTTTACAAAAGCTTGGATTTCTTGAGTTAACCGAGAAACAGTTTCATGGGTTGCCATATTGGAAGGCATTGTAACTCACTCTGATACCACTTGATACAAATTAGGGTTTGCTTCTTCTCAAATCAGCATCATAATCGGCAAAAAACTCAACAAGATGACAAGTCTTAAGGTAAAACAAGAGTAGATACGGAAAAAAAACTAGCAAACAATGAGGAATTCATGTCCAAGTTTCATTAACTCAAAGTTTCCCAACAAAAATAATAGTTATCCCTTAAAACCCTTAAACACAAAGTATCTAAGCAACCTAAAAACCTTAAAAAGCTCCTATGAAATCCTAGCCATACATTGGGTAATGATCTCATGCAACGGTTGTATCATAGTATAATGCAACCACACTTCTAGAAAACCATGTTTTAGGCATTTGTATGACCCCAAATTTTGTACACACATTTTCTTCATCCTCATAATCAATCCTATGGAAAAAAAAAATTCAATTTGCACCCTAGATATGGTCAAAATTAGTACCCTCCAACAATGAATCTCGACCATCCATTTGGTGAATTTCAAGATCTAGGCCTTCATAAATTCAAAATCACTTTTTTTTTTTTAGCATTGTTAATCTAATGATGATAACACTTATATAAAAATTTTGGAAATAAAAAAAATCCTTTTGAGGCGTATATCTAACCATCTCACTAAAATGGATGGCTTATATTAAGTGGGCTAGAAGAACCCTTTCTAGGGCGTTTTTTCTAAATTTTATTTTTTGTGATTGTTCTTTAGAATGAAAAGAGTATACATCCAAAAAATTGTGTCAAACAAATGGCTCTAACATGGTTTTTAATGTAGTTGCATTATATTATGATACAACCGTTGTATGAAATCATTGGCCCCATACATTCCCTTCTAACTCTATCCATCTATTATTAACTTAAAAAAAAATTACTAACTCTGCCGCTAATAAAATTAGAAATAATGACTAAAATAATAAAAAGAATACAATAAAAACATAATTTGTAACATACTAAACCCCAATAACCTATAGTAGACGAATACCAAAGATAAGCCCTAAAACCCCCCGAAATATATCCCTTAACCCCCTTAATTAAGATTCACAGGGACCCAAATTTGTCCATCCTGGGCCTGCATCAAGGAGGCTCAGCCTGTCATGCCTAAGAACTATGCTTGGGTCGGGTTTGCTAGACCAGGGATGACCTGGTTTAGTTATTAGATTTATATTAATGATTAATGTTTTTTACTGTAAATTGCATTATGTAGCCTTCATATAAATTTTTATGTAAAATAAGAAGGGTATTTTAGACTTTATGTTCTTATTTATGACCAATACATAGAAAGGCCAAAATGTCTTTTCAAAAATTAATTCTTAGAGGGCACTTTGTACCCAGTAAAAAGTGCATCTTATAACCAAGGTGTTAGCCACTAAGACCCATTCAACTTGTGATTAAAATAGCAAAACTAATATGTATATATGTATATATTTTTATTTATGAATGTATGTATATGTGTATATATGCAGCTTTTGGCTCGGCTCCAATGGTCCGACCGATCCAAAATATTAGGGCCAGGCTTGGGTTACGTCTCACTATTCAGGCCAAGTTTGGGCTGACCAGCCAGGCCTGAGTTGTAATAGTGCAACAAATGAGGAGTCTGGGACACTAGGCTAGTGTGCTGCTGAACTTGAAGATTTATATAATGAGAGTGGTGCGAAGGTAGAGGCTACTTGCATCTCTTGATTGTATCCATTGATTCATCAAGTAAATGAGAAAGTTCATCTTGCTACTGGATGTATTTTGGAATATAACAACTTCGGAAATGTGATAGTACAAAAATCGTCTTTTTGTGTCTATGTGCGTGCACAGGTCGGGGGGGTCAGTGGGTTTTGTCCTACAACTCTAGATTCCTCAATACTCAATGAATTCCATTTGCAACTGAAGGCCATTTCTAGACCGGCCAGACCATTTAAAATTCTTCTGCTACAAGTCATCATCTGTGTGAATTACTTATGATTTGCCGCTTCTTGCGTAAAAGCATGACATCTAAGAGCAGAACAAAAATGTGATATTTTTACTTTAGAGTGGGTTTGGTTTTTTGTTGGAAAACGGTCACTTGGCCTTCACTTCTATCTTTTTTATTAGCTCCTCACATGTTTGCATTCATATACCCTCTTATTCTACTGTAGTTTTTGTTCAATTATGTCATTTGGTAATTAAAAACGATTCATATTTATTTGCAGATGTTCTAGGGTCTGCCATTGGCTTTGCGGTGTTCATGGTGCTACTTTGCTTGTGGGCCCTCACATTTGCCATTGGAGGAGAGCGTCTGTTCGGCCCCATTTGGCAGCACCTTGTGATGTATAATGTGGCTAACACATTTGGGCTCACATCTTGGAGCCAAATGTAGACTTTGTTTTGATCATTAATAGCATTTCATCGTATATTACCCAAGGAAATTATATTTTTATATCACTACAGGTGTCCGAAGTCACAATTCACAAAAACTTGGTACAAGCATTCAATTTGTAAATTTTGACAAATTTTCCTAATATAATCCTAATTTTGGTTTATAATGCTTAGATGAACTTTGTTGATGTCCCAGCAGGTTGTTACATAGAAAGTAATTCCATTAACAGGCTATGGTATAATTTTATGCCCTTTAATTACTAATAAAAAAATTTGGGATGTTCTTTATAGTTCTTCCCCTCATTTAAGAGTGCCAAACAACCCCAGCTTGCTTTGCTATTTTCATGGGGAACTTATTTCGTCTGTGTACCTACGTTTGCTTGATTCTTACAAAGATGACTGTTGTTTTTCAGGATTCCCATTAAGCAATGGTATTTCTTTGATATAACTAAACTAAGCAAGTGGTTTTAGGGTTTGTTTGGATGACAGTTTATTTTATTTGGTGTATATTACCTTATTTGAAATAAATCTACTCTTGATAATGTTAATTTGTTAGCTTTTTGGTACGTATCTTATTTTATTATATTCTGTATAATACTATTTAAATATTTAATTTTATACATCTTTTCAATGATTTTAGCTATTTCTGACAAAGAACATATGATGTTCAACAAATTACTTTGAAATTAGCAATAAAATTTCGTACGAATAAAAAGAAAGAAAATGAGAAGGGCACAATTATTCGGACTACTTGAAATTTCTTATTGTGTCAATGTGTCAATACGGATGTGACGTGTCCTGTTAGTCGATCCTCAGACATAAGGAGCGGTTAGACGGTCTGCATTACCAGTTTACCACACAATGAAAAGGGGGTTTGTGTTTAGGAATATCAAAAGGGGTTATATACTGTGAGACAATGTATCTTTGTTTGTTATAAGAAGGTTACAATTGCTATTAGTCATTAGATGTTAAATTGGATAACATTAAATTGGATAACATGGTGTGTCACAACATTTAAGTTGTTCTTTTATTTTTATTTTTGAGATGAGTTTAATCATATTTGCAACCATCTAATTTGAAATTTGGAGAAGAGCAATGTTACATCTTTGTATTAAAGGTAAATGTTTTATTTGCACAATCAAAATGATTTTGTATAGTCTTATTTTTAAAGGAAAAGAATACAAAGAGACCATTCACCTTTGATACAAGGTTGTCAAAATTAATCTCGACAATTGGATAGTTGTGTTTATTCCATTGATTCAAACTTCAAAAGAAATTTTCTCCAATTTTGTGATGCACTCAAGCTATTAGATTTCACATGAGATTTTATTAATAATTGTGACCTTCTTGTATCAAAGTTAAATGGTTTCGTTGTATATATAATCTTGGTTTTAAATTATAAAATTTTTTATACCGACACGTCTTGGTCAATTTAGATTTTCTAGATGAAGTACCAGACATTCCAATTCCAATTATGTTTAGTTACTCGGGTCGGTATCGATATACCAAGGCTAGGACAAACCAATACCCTTGAGTCATTGCGGTGCATTCAAATGAACGATCATTAAAATAGTAGATCCAATCTTGGGTAAGTCATTAGATTAGATGTTAGAGCGGTAGGAATTTAGTAGCCGGGTGTCGTGGTGTAGTTGGTTATCACGTCAGTCTAACACACTGAAGGTCTCCGGTTCAAGTCCGGGCGACGCCATGGTTTTATTTCCCTAATATAGGGAGCATGGTGTACACTTACTTCCCACGAGGGAGATTTAGAAAGCAGCATTGTGGTGTATATACTCACTTTACTTCCCACAGGGGGAGATTTTTGTTCCCAAAATTCGTGATAGTGATTTTTGTTTCTAAAATTTCCCTAATATAGAGGAGCAGCATGTGGTGTATATACTCACTTTACTCCCACAGGGGGAGATTTTTGTTCCCAAAATTCGTGATAGTGATTTTTGTTTCTAAAATTTCCCTAATATAGAGACCATGGTGTACACTTACTTCCCACGGGGGAGATTTAGGGAGCAGCATGTGGTGTACACTCACTTTACTCTCACAGGGAGAGATTTTTGTTCCCAAAGTTCGTGATAGTGATTTTTGTTTCAAAAATATGCTCCTACAGGAGAATAGTGTACATTTACTCCCTCCTGCTAGATAACCTTTGGGGGACATGGTGTACACTTACTCCCCCATAGGAGAATAGTGTACACTTACTCCCTCCTGCTAGATAACCTTTGGGAGTATGGTGTACACTTACTCCCACGGGGGAGATTAGGGAGCAGTATGTGGTGTACACTCACTTTAGAATTTTGTTCCCAAAGTTTGGGAAGATAATATGCTCCTTGGGAGCATAGACTTCTATTCTCTTGGTCCCAAGATTTACTTGGGAGGATATTTTCTCATATTTTGCCAAGGACAAGGTGGCAAGAAGATTTACTTGGGAGGATTTTTTCTCATATTTTGCGTAGGACAAGTTCGCGTTCGCATGCTGCCAAGCCCACACATGTAAAAATGCGGGCTTGGCAATAAATATATTTTTAAATATAATATAGTTCTAATTTTTAGAGAATATTTAATCTTTTACATTGAGATCATGAATATGAAAAATAAATAGAAATAATAATTATATTAAGAAAATATTTGGACCGTTAGTTACAATTGTTTTTAGATGAGGATTGTATACAATTAGACCATTTATCAGTTGTATAGGATGGTCACAATTAGTTACAACCATCTTATGTGAAATTTGATAGTTTGGATGTATCACAAAGTTTGACAAATTTTTTTTTTCACTTTGAGCTTAGTCATTGAAATAAATACATCTACCCAATTTCACATCCAATTGTCAATATCAATTGTGACCTCCGTGTACCAAAGATAAATAGTCTCATTATATACTTTTCCTTTTAGATAGACCACTTAAAGATGGATGAATGCTTTATACCTCTGGACCGCATATTGTAGATGAATGCTTTATACCTAAAGATGGATGAATGCTTTATACCAACCTGCATGAAACAATTGTTCTTTTGTTATCTATAAGTTTTCCCCTCGTTTATTTAGTGATTCCCATGGGAGATCATAATGTTGAAAATACCAAGCTCGATGCTCCTAAAATCAATTCTTTCTCGGTGTTCAAATTTCAACCAATCTTCAGAGCTCTAGAAAGGAGAAATAAAGCAACAAGTTTTTTAATCTTTAGAGTAAAAATATAAAAGAATAAAAAATAAATAGAAGGCCTCCAAAGTCAATACTTCCCCTTTGAAGCAAAGGGTGCCTCGTTAGATGGACCCTGCACGTTCATACCCTTGGTTAACGGCGGTTAACTCGTTACACTCAGTTTTAAGCTTGAAAAGTGCACCATTGTGCCTTGTTAAATGTACCTGCACGTTCGAACAGCAGGTAGGTACCTACCGGTCTTCACCACTAAATTACTCATAAAATAAAAAAATTGGTCCATAACAAGAAAAAGGGTTGGGTCGTGGTGGTAACATCCCCGCACCTAGTTACCACATCCTGATATCCATTAATATCGATGACACTTCCAATTTAACACCTTCAAAATGTAATCCCCTAATCTATTGAAAAAAAAAAACAGACAGAGAAATTATTTATGAAAAATCCTAACATAAAAATAAAGTCATGGTACCGGTAAACTCAAAATCCTACCATAAAAATAAAGTCATGGTATCGGTAAACCTTGTGAGGGGGGCCTTGCATATTTATTTTCACACTCTTTAACTGAAGTAAATTTTCATATTCTTTAATTGCAATAAAGTCATGGTATCGGTAAACCTTATTTTCACATTCTTTAACTGAAATAAAGTCATGGTATCAGTAAACCTTGTGAGGGAGGAGCTGCAGATCTGTTTTCACACTATTTAACTATAGAATTTGAAGCTCTAAAAATGTTGCACTAGTTGTGGTTATGTGAAAACTGAAATGAATTGTTGATTTTTTGTTTTTAGATCTATGATTGTCGAGGTGGAGCTGAATGATTTGTAGGAGCCTGCAGATCTATTTTTACACTCTTTAATTGTACCTCAAAATCCTACCATAAAAGTAAAGTCATGGTATCGGTAAACCTTGTGAGGGAGGGCTTACAGATCTATTTTCACACTCTTTAACTATAGAGTTTGAAGCTCTAAAAATGTTGCACTAGTGGTGGTTATGTGAAAACTGAAAAGAAATATTGATTTCTTATTTTTAGGTCTATGATTGTCAAGGTGGAGATTAATGACTTATAGGAGCCGGCAGATCCATTTTTTAACTGTACCTCAAAATCCTACCATAAAAATAAAGTCATGGTATCGGTAAACCTTGTGAGGGAGGGGTTGCAGATCTATTTTCGCACTCTTTAACTATAGAATTTGAAGCTCTAAAAATGTTGCACTAATGATGGTTATGTAAAAACTGAAATGAAATGTTGATTTCTTATTTTTAGATCTATGATGGTCGAGGTGGAGCTGAATGATTTGTAGGAGCCTGTAGATCTATTTTTACACTCTTTAATTGTACCTCAAAATCCTACCATAAAAATAAAGTCATGGTATCGGTAGACCTTGTGAGGGGGGGCTTGCAGATCTATTCTTACACTCTTTAACTATAGAATTTGAAGCTCTAAAAATGTTGTGCTAGTGGTGGTTATATGAAAACTGAAATGAAATGTTGATTTCTTGTTTTTAGATCTATGATTGTCGAGGTGGAGCTGAATGATTTGTAGGAGCCTACAGATCTATTTTTACACTCTTTAACTGTACTTCAAAATCCTACCGTAAAAATGAAGTCATGGTATCAGTAAACCTTGTGAGGGAGGACCTGCAGATATATTTTCACACTCTTCAACTGTAGAATTTGAAGCTCTAAAAATGTTGCATTAGTAGTGATTATGTGAAAACTGAAATGAAATGTTGATTTCTTATTTTTAGATATACGATTGTCGAGGTGGAGCTAAATGATTCGAAGGAGCCTATAGATCTATTTTCACACTCTTTAATTGTAGAGCTCTAAAAATGTTGCAAACCCGAAATGAATTATTCAAGAAAAGTATTGCAAGATTTTAGAGTTTGATTTCTTGTTTTTAGATTTATGATTGTCGAGGTGGAGCGGAATGATTTGTAGGAGCTAAAACTACATTTTCTAGTGAGATTTAAAATGTAGAATTAATGTGCACCTAAAAAATCCATCATAAAAAGTTATTTTAGTGTTAAGAAACCCTCGAATTGATCATCTTGACATTGAGATGTATGATTACAAAAAGAGAAAAAGAGTTCAAATCCTAAAAATAATATATCTTACAACACATTATTTTGGCTGTCAATTTTCAAGTATTTATAGATCTACTTGATTTGAACATTTTTTGAAGTTTAAGATTTTATAATTAGAGATAAAAACAGATTTGCAAGCTGTTCTAAAAAATTTTGACACCAAAATTATATTTATGATAAAATTTTGAGGTCTGCCTTAATTTGATCTTCTAATGTTCCAACTTTATGCCAAACCCAAAATAAATTGGTCCAATTAGAAACTAATAGTTTATGTTAACCATTTTAAAGAGAGACGCAAACTTCAAAATTTATGTTGGGATTAGAATTCAGGAATTATTACTTTAACCGTTGCCCAAAGTGCCTGTCTGGTAATAGAGAGAGAAACACGCACATTCTCTCTAACATCTTTACAAGCTCCTCACGCAAAGTAAGTCCAAACCCAAAATCATGGATCCCAAAAGTGCAGGTATTGCATGTGGTATATCCTCAAAAACTCAGAGAGAGAGAGAGAGAGGAACACTCAAGGAGCATAGAGAGAGAGCACTCAAAAGAGAGAACACTAGAGAGAGGGAGCACTTAAAAGAGAGAAAACTAGAGAGAGAGAGAGAGAGAGAGAGAGAGANNNAGAGATATAGTAGAGAGAGAGAGTAGGTAGGTAGGTAGACTACTTACTTACTAACAGACTACTTCTACTCGTACGTACGTAGTTACGTAC